ATTGTTTTGAAACTGCAGACCACCTACATGAACGCAGTGTTGTACTACAATTTCACAGCCTAGCAACGATGCAGACATTTTTGACATGACAAAAACATTGCCCCAGTGTTTCTGACATTAAGGCTCCTGCAAAATTCTGTTTTTCATGCTTTATGGGCTCTTTAGTGAACAGCATGCTATATCGTGTGCATGTTTATATATGTTGACTGAGCAGGGTGCAAAGCTAGGCATGCATTGTGGGGCAACAGTAAATTGAGGTTAACACTAAGAGACAGCTCCCTATTGGGTCAAAATCAAGCCTGGATGGTAGTGACAAAATCACAGCAAATATATTACTGACACAGGAAAACAGCAGGGAACATGCTTGAGTTCTCCATCCATTCATATTTAGTGTGAGAGGCTTAACCAAACCTTTATCCCTATGTCTCATCTGCTGATTTTCACCAGAACGAAGGGGGTTCCTGATCAGTCAGACATAAAAGTGAGAAAATTGGGGGTAAATAACGCTGCAGGCTCTATGAAGTTGCAGCAGCTAGGTATTTTTTTGAGCACTTTGTATATATCTAAAAACGCTGCCATACCAAATCTGTTGTTCTTGTTTTCATTCTGCCATGATGAAAGCAGCAACCGCCCAATGACATTTCATTTTAATATTGCTATATAATCTCAAAGGGATGCCTCCGGGACAGAATGGGCAGAATAAAATGTGCTTTAAAACTATTTGGAAAAGAAATGTAATGAGCATCTATCCGAAAACACATATCATTTAGCTCATGGCTATCAAACCCATTGGTCTCCTATGTTAAGAAAAAAATTAATGAAGCACCTGAGGGACTGAAAGATACTGGATGATAATTAAAAGGAGCAATCTGGCTTTGACAAATTGCACACATTGGATGTTTATAAAGCAGTCGAAAAAAGGAGGCAAACATAAAAGTGAAGTCATTTCAAGTTGAGAGATTGGGAGCCACAGTAGCAGATGGATGCGGTCTTGACATCAGCAGGGTCATCCTGAGAGCAGAAGATTTGCTGTCTTGTGTGGCCAGCTCCTCACCCCTGCTGAATGGCAATTTATATTGGAAATAAAGCAAGCACCTTATCTTAAACTCCTAATTGGCTGCTTTATCTTATTTGCCTTATCTCTTGCTCTGTAGTCACCAGGAAACCAGCACAAATAGTACAAGATTTACTTTTAGCAATTGTGCTACCTTTGATAGTAGCAAGGGAAAAAGTAAGAGAGGTGGCAAAGATCCCAGACAGGGATGTAGCTAAGAATTCTGGGACACCTGCCTTTTAGATAAAATAATCATACTGGATGATCTATTCAGCTATGATCGCAACATGGCTCTAGCACGGCTGTGTTGGTTGGTTTGTCTACCACTTTCCAGACTGAAAAATCTCAGTTTCCCAGATGATGTATCCTATTTACATTGGTGATCCACTGACTTTTCACCTAGCGCCACCAGGAGGTTGACATTTGTGGTTTTGAGTGAAACATCTTCACAACTATTGAAAATGATTGTCATGAAATTTGGTACAGACATTCATGATCCTCTAAAGATTAAGTGCAATAACCAGACAGTGAGAGTCTGTTTGTGCTGTCCATACCAGATCCTCTGTCGTGCTCACCCTCTCCACAGGAGTTGTTGTGCTCTCCACAATCAGCTCCTTGGTTTTGGCAACATTCTTGAGTAGGCTGTTATCCTGGCACAAGAGTGACAGGTTAGTCACTTCCTTCAGCTAGGCCTTTTCATCACTGACGGAGATCAGGCCCACCACCTCTGTGTCCTCAACAAACTTAATGATGGAATGGAATTGAACCTTGTTGCACAGTCATGCACGTACAGGGAGTAGGGGACTGAGGAGGGTTGTATTTACCACCCTGAACACATGGGGCATGTTGGTCAGGAAGATCCAGTTGCAAGCAGCAGGTCTGGTGGAGACTATGGTGTTAAAAGCTGAACTGTAAAGGATGAACAACTGTCCCCCCTTCCCTTCAGGCCTGGGAGACCGCATCATCCTTGGATCTGTTTAGCCGAAATTTGTAAACTGCAGTGGGCCCATGGTGTGAGGGAGGAAGGTGCAGATGTAGTCCTTGATCAGCCTCTGGAAGCATTTCTTGACCACTGAGGTGAGGACCACTGGTTGGTAGTCATTCATGAATGCTGGAGAAGTATTTTAAAGACAAAGCGACAATAATGGATCCCTTGAAGCAGGTGGGAATCCCTTAACTTTACATTTGGCACTGGGTCAAAATTCAGTGTAGGTAGGTCAAAAATGTGTACAATGCTTTGTTTCATGACCTAATGGCTTCAAAACTAATAATTCTCAACAGCCTTAGCTGTAGTTTATGCTTATCAGGAATTGTGCCAAACTAAGATGGTGTAGATGGCTTTGTACCTGCTAAAAATTAGCATGTTAACATGAATGTCTTAGCGTTGTCTTTGTGAGTATGTTAACATGCTGATATTAGCATTTAGCTCAAAGTACCATTGTGCAGAAGTACAGCCATCATTTTTTCTGGGACACTATCCTCTCTCCCGATGTCAGCTGGGTTTGGCTCCAGCCCCCCCCGCGACCCTGTACGCAGGATAAGCGGGGGTGACGATGGATGGATGGACTATCCTCTCTAGTAGCGTGGTGGTGTTACACAGCCACAAAGCCACCAAGGGAAGAGGTCGTCCACATCCCATCTCCAACAACAGTCAATATTAGTTTCTTAAACACAACCACAATCTTTCTGTAACTTTAACCAAGTAGTTTTGGCTGCCATAACCATCAAAATTGCAGGTCAGAATATGCTCTGACGAGAGCCCAGGTTGCATAGGCATTGACCATCAGTGTCCTGGTTCGTGTCCAGCATTCCTGTAGGCTACAGAATGTGTTGAACAATAATTTAAGAGCAAATCGATGAATGCAGTGTTTTGGAAGGAAATGGCCGTCTTCCGTACAAATAAAAGCAAACATATAGCCAGCTGATAATGACTACAGGAGATGCAAACAACTTCCTAATGAATTCAGGCCCCACAGTGATAGTCCTCTTGCATGAATGAATGTAATTACAGCCCGTACATTGGTGGTCTAACACAGGCAGGCACTTATTGAGATTATTCCCAGGCTCTGGTGTGCACACTGTGAAGAACACTGCGTGACACTTGCATGAAAATACAGCTCCAAATATAGCCTACATTGTACCAAGATATCTGTGATTAGGATGGGAAGGTGACAAAAACAGAAAACAGTATAGTCTGTGAGTGTGGTAGGGATTTGTGCCCACACATATATATGCACCTTCACGTTGGCTAGAAGATAAAAAGCAAGACGCAGTTTTATGTGGAGACGTGTGACCACTGTGGTTACAGCAATTACTCGCTCATTTTTAAAAGCCCTCTTACACCCTTCTCTCTGTACCTTTTCACCGTTTCCCTCCATCCACGCCCCCTCTCTCTTTCTCCGTAGTTATTCTATTTCACAATTTGTCATGCTGCAACGACAGGCTGAGGCAACGGGCACTATGCCGGTGCCTGTGAGCTGAGCCCGGGTTGAGATAAAGCTAAGCTGACAAGTGGGTTCAGCTGCGTCACAGTGTCCTTTGAAACGGTCACAGAAAAGGGAGAAAATGAATGCAAGGCATGTTCCTCCAGAGGTGGCCCCCTTTACACTTCACCTCTTGGCTCCTCCCGGCACACAGCTGCTGGCTTTTGCCTCAGGCTGCTTCTTCAAATAATGTTATCATCCATGTTGCAAACCTAACATGGAGGATATGAAACAGCATATTCACCCTAAGGTCACATGTTAAAAAAATAGAAATAAATCCTCAACGTCACCCAACTCTGTACTGTGTTCATTTGACAAGCTTGATGATTTTAATTTTTCTGCACAATTTCAACATACTATTAAATGCCACAGTGTAGGCAGATGAGCCTAAGCTGCTACACATTCATCTTAGAAATATTATCCCTCATTTAACACACACACACACACACACACACACACACACACACACACAGGCTTCCTTAAGAGCACCACTCACTCTCTGGTGGATAAAGACAAATCCATCTCCCTCTCGTCTTTCTTCCCCCACACAGTATTTTCTTTCCCCGAATGCCCATCCCCCCCTTCTACTGAGGAGAGCCCTGGTAAATAATTGAGGCATATTCCCCCTCTGCTACTGTAGCTTCCCTGCCTTTTTTTTTTTTTTTGCATCTTCTAGGTCTCACCATTATTTGGTTATTCTGATCTAAATATACAAAGTGATACAACTGAAGATATAGAGTGCATTGTAATGCGAGTTGTGATTAATGTTTGCATGCCTGTGTGTCAGAGCACAAGGACTCTCAGGGGATGAGTTTAAATAGCAAACAGAAATGCAAACATCATCTCTACATTATGAGCTAGAGAATCATCATTTTGACATCAGAACACCCCTGAAATGCAATATCTTATGTCCCCTTATTGCTTCTGATTTCATTTTGAAGAGGGCTTTTCCAGTCAAGTGAGTTGGCCAAGCCTTCAGGTGCCATGTGGCCAAAGCTGAATATATGCAGCATGGCATGGTATGAATGATACAAATGATGCATCATGTCACTCGGTCTGAGAGGCATAAAGTGCTGTCAAGTTTCCCTCACTAATGCAAGATGCTCCTGTTCTGTTAAATCAAATCCCCTAATTGTGCTGAAGAGCTCATGGAGATGTGATTTAGCAAAAAATTGCACAGAGACCCTTCCTGTCTCCTTTTATAATTGATAATATGATACAACAGACCCAAGTTGACAGCAATCTTGATGCTGCAATGGCTGAAGCTTTTGTGGTTGGGATCTAAAATGAGGTGTTTGCTGACACCTGCTGTCTCAGTGCATGAAGCTCCACTTCTACTATGTTACATACTACATAGGCACACGTATAAGCCGGTAAAATCATTACACTACACATCATGAGACTTTGCATTCTAATTATGTACACAACTAATAGAATAAAAAACACATTAATTAGACTGCAGGTTTCTTGTGAGCATCTTCTTTTTTATAAATATTTCAATATTTTTGTCCATCCATAAAAATCTGACACATAAATTAATTAAAATCTACATAAAGGGAAGAAACAGAAAACAATCAGAGAGCTGCATCAACAAACATGGCTCACCCATTTACACCAATCAAAAGTCAAACCTACACATAAGAAAAGAGGGGATTTAAAATTAGTCATAAGGCAAAGAGGCTTAAATGGTAACTGCCTGAGATTAAATGTATATTTTTTAACACGTGTACACATATCAAACTGAACCCAGAGGGAAAATAAAAACATCGACCCCAAATTCTAAAACAGAAAAACAAATAAAACCACATGATGGATCTGTGTAACTCCAGCTCAAACTTTTTTCTAACAGCATTTCCTTCTATTCAGCAGGTGATCAGAGCAACAAGACAGAATATTATTCACCTTCAGGATGACTTTTAGCAGCAAATAAGACTCAACTAAGGCCGCATCCTGCTTGATGTTCACACATACAGTATACCTAAATTAGAGTACATTCAGACTGTATTGACCATCCAGTCAACACACTATCCTTCTTAAATGTGCAATTCAACATGCAGCGATGGCACCTGTATATCAACTTAAGTTTTAGAATAAACTATAACTCCAGTGAAAAATAACTCCAGTGATGAAACATATAATCATAAAGGAAGCTTTCTGTATCATAGTGTACTTTAAATCGACTGTAATGCAACTTGTTAAACAAGTTACTTATACGGTGGTACAGCAGTCTTCTTAACTGTCTGATGGAGCAGTCTTAGACGTCTCATCCTCCATGATATTGGCTGGACTTGAGGGGTCTGAACTAGTACCTTTCACCTCTGGGAGAGTCATGTCACTCAGGTTCTCTGTGGTGACTTCAACGCCTACAAGGCCATCCGCAGCCTCTCTGCTCGGAGAAGCGGTAGTGATCAGGTCAACGACACGCCCCTGCTCGGTCTCCTGGGCGTCTGATCCTTCTTCCCTCTCCAGAGAGGAAGGTCTTTGGTCAACAGATGAGGTATCTGTAAAAAATGATTATTAAATTATTAAATTAACAAGTGTAATTAAAGGAAAGCTCCACCCCAGGGTACAGTCTCTAATGTTTAGTTAGGAGCTATTTTATAATAGGGGCTCTGATTAGCGTTTCTGTCATGACAAATTTGTTCCAACTTGCCTCAATATTTTTCATGACAACACTGGATCACAAGTGAGCTCTTCTATTGCTATTTTAGCTCTGTTGCTCATATACTCATATCACTACTTTTATGCAGCAAGAATGGATAATAATTCACAGACAAAGCGATTAACTGAGCCCAGACATGCGAGGAATGCAAACAATAGCTGCTTTAAATGGTTTTCATTTTTCTTTTCAAGCAGAGTGGCATTGAAAGCCTGTAATTGCTCTATTCAGCTGCACAATTCAATCACTTGCAGAGAGTGTAGTGGTACTTACCGAAGCAATGCTGATCACCAGAGTCATCTCCATAATTAGCAAACATGGAGCTCTGGCCCATGTCATTGGTGGAAACCATGTCTGACAAGTCTGGAGTCAACGCTTCGGATATGTTGGAAATATCTGCTATTCACAAAACGGACAAATGACCAATTTTATTCTGTGTGAAAACATTTACAGTATGTCAACTAAATGAGACACTAAAAACAATTGTATGTTACTTAAAATTAGATCTGGTTACCTAAGTCCACCGTTGGCTCTGAGGGTGAGGTTACACACAAGTCCTGCACAGCATCTTTGATTTGATTCAAATCTATCTGACTGACGCTAGAGGGGCTACACGCGGCCACTGAAGGCACCTGAGAACAGAGAACTTGTGTTTCAAGTATAAAAAGAACATTTAATAAAAGAAAGATGTGACAACCTATACCTCAGTATTATCACTTGCGACCAGCTCTTCGCTGCTGCCGATCAACGTGGATTGCAGAACATTTCTGTCCTGGGTGTTAGGCTGAGCTGGACGAGTTGGGATTCTGTGTAAGTAGCCATAGCCAATGCCACAGCCTAAGCTAAAATTTATGACAAACAAGACAAGGTCACTACAATAAATGTTTACTGTGTCTGTACATATACAGGTGACATCATAAGTAAAGGTCATCTACTTCAATTTGAAGACATAATACCTACCTTCCCTCTCCTCCCCATGCTCCATTTGGAGTCACCACTACTTCTCTGCACTGGTCCGTCTGTGTGTTGTACACCAGCAGCTTCAGAGGTTTCCCCTCATTGGCTTCAATTAAAGAAAAGAAATCCTCTGACTGCAAAGGTTACACAGAAAGAAAAACGTTTTGAGTTCTAGTAACTTTATTAAAAAAAAAATCCATATATATATAAATAAATGCAAAAATCAGAAAGGCTTACATCTTGCAACACCTGATCGGCTCCCACGATGAAGTCATTGTGAGCAATAAGGCCAGCAAACGCTGCAGGAGAACTGGCTTCCACATCCTAAAAAAGATGGTAATGAAGAAATTTTTATTTAAAACCATAGTCTGAATTTAATTTAACTTAACATTGTACTGTTATATGGGAATTTATTTGTTGGTACCAAATTAGGTTGTACCAACTCCACAAGAACTTTAATGATAATTTTATGGTCCCCTAGTAAACCAGTGGAACAACAGTCAAGAACATTTGGTTTATTTACTCCTTTATCTTCTAACATACAAGAAAATACTGTCTACCACCTCAAAGCAGCCAAACTGTTTAGTATCAGGCCAGCATGAGTTTACCATATGTGGGTTACACAATACATTTAAAGAATAGCGCCGATTAAGGCTAGACTTGACTTACCAAGACATGCCAAACATTCTCATTGGCTCCTTCAAAGCTGCAGAAACGGACGCTAGCACCCAGGAGACCCTGACCACCCCACATGTTACTGGGTATCACCTCCAGTTCCCTCACCCGCTGGGTTTTAGAGTTGTACACTTCAAGCTTGACTGCTTTCTCCACATTGGCTTTCAGAAGGTCTTTCAACAAGTCACTTTCTTTACTCTGGAGAAACAGAGAAATATGGACTATCCCAGCTGTGACAGTGCAGAGATGGTGAACCAGTTTTATGTTACAGAACATGTAATGAGGTTGATCATAACGCATAACACGGCCACTTTTTTCTGATGATGTTTAAATTTCATTGTGGGGAAGGAAAAATTGGCACAGAAACACACACAATAAAACAATGTTTTAAAAAAACCCCATCTAATTCCATTGCAAGTCACCACAATATACACTTAAACAGTTACAAATTTGTTAATATGACATAATTAACATCATATGATGATGAAGTTACTCTTTGTTGTCCCAAAATAAAATATTGATATTGTTGATCCAACGAAGGTTAAAATCAAGGGCAACTGGACTTGGTTGAAGATACTGGAAGACGTTTCGTCCCTCATCCAAAGGACTTCTTCAGTTCTGACTGACTGGCAGGGAAACTCAGCTATTTAACCTCAGTGGGGTCGTTATCCCGGGTCATTGATACCGCTGGTTCGTTAGTGTTCCTTGTTGCTGTGACGACAGTCGTTACAGTCGTCCTTTCATCACTTCCCAGGAAACTCAACAAACGTAACCTATTGGCCTCAGGTGAAGATACCAACGATGGTCGTTCAGTCTTGGCCACAGGTAGTCTTAACGACTGTAACGACTGTCGTCACAGCAACAAGGAACACTAACGAACCAGCAGTATCGATGACCCTGGCCAACGACCCCACTGAGGTTAAATAGCTGAGTTTCCCTGCCAGTCAGTCAGAACTGAAGAAGTCCTTTGGATGAGGGACGAAACGTCTTCCAGTATCTTCAACCAAGTCCAGTTGCCCTTGATTTTAACCTTCGTTGGATAACTATGACCTGGATGACTGAGAATCTTCATAGAGATATTGTTGATATTGTGTAAAACTGCAACTTTTTATAAGACTTAAAACAGTTGACAAACAAAGGATAGGTCAGAGGATTTACATGCTAATTGAAGAATTACAAATATGTTTAACACCTTGAGGTTCATAGTTAACTTACGTGGTGGCATGTTTCAAAAGGATACCTTCTGTGGGCGAATTGTATCAAAACGTAACAAAACTAATGTAAAATTCCCTATTTTCCCTGGTTTCAACTATACTTTCCAAAATGTCTCTGTTAACAGAGCGATTACTTTCTCTAATTTCAACGCAGTCATTAACATACTACTTCTGAACTCATTTAGTCCTCACAATGTTTTTTGTTTCACAATTACATTCATAATTGTGTCACATAACCATTAATATAAGATTTGTTAATCCAATATACTCACCAGTCGGGTATTTCCAATAGAGAGAATAAAGTCAAAGAAGGGCTCCAGACCAGCCCTCAGAGCAGGTGAGTCCTCTTGAACCTGAAATGTGAAAAAACACAATGTGGTTTGGTTGAGTTGACATGAAGGATCCTGTGTTATAGTCGCCCCCGTGTGTCAACTAAATATATTGCAATGGCAAGAATTTTGGGATCTTCCTTACAAGATATCGCACAGCTGGTGTTCTTCACATTGCGAATAGGAGGATATGTAACGTTAACTCTATAATTTATACTTTCTGATATCAGTTTCTGCAGTGAGTACTAAACAACTACAGTCTCTAGCTTGGATGTGTGCCAAATGCCACCTCATCATGGGCGGACATCATTAAAAATGACCACGACTAGAATTACTAACATTTACTTATAGAATAACCTGACATTTACAAACCAACAACTGTATTTATCCACAGATAAATGCAGCAACAACATCTTTTCAGGACTAACATATTTAGCAAGTCAGTGAGCTAAAAACTGGTAAGTTAACCCAGATTCAAAAAGTGAGCTGTCGGGACGAGTCGAGGTTTATAACCTTGCAGTACAACAACGTACCCCGTGGACATGATATCCACTATTAGTTCCCCCGTCCGACAAAAACGAGCTCTGCGGTAGCCCCATTGTCGTCAACAGTCACGTAATACTCGCACTGACTAAATGTCACTGAGGTAGCGTAATGTTAGAAGGCATTACTGAAAGCTATAGAGCTGATTCAAGCTAGCTAGCGCCAACAGCAGAGGGAGGTGCACACAGCAGGCGTTTTATGGCTAGGCAAAGCTAATAAATAAAGAAGCCAGAAAACTCGAGCCTGTATTGTGCTTTAGATCCGTGGTGACACCAAGGTAGCTGCGTTCGATTAGCCATCCTTGACAGGATGTTCTACGCAGTTGCTTGGCAACAGAATACGCGAGTGGAAAAAGATTCATCTCATTCAAGAAAAATTTTAATATTTAATACAAAATGTTGTGCATACAAAAGGCTATGTTTGTAACATTAGATTGAGCATGTCTGGGGGGAAATGGAGAATTACAACGGTTACTGTGTTATATTTCTTTTATAGCTGATAGAGGGTAATATGCATATAGGCCTATACATAGAAACAATACAATCAGCAGTCAGCAGTCGGTGTACAGGCTGCTTTAATTGTAAATAGTTACCAGAGTTTCACACACTTACTAAAACATTACAGTTATTGTTGAAACTTATTTTGAAAGCAAATTACCTCCTGTAATTCATTGATTTACAGGAGTAATGACCTTGCTTAGTCTTATAAAAACATAAATTGAGCATTTTACATTAGGCTACATTAAGACTACAGATTGTAATACTGAACATGATAAAAAAATATATTTGGTTAGAATATCTGGAAAGAGCTTGTAGGCCTATACTGTTAGGAGACTGACTGTCCCCTCATCTGGAAAAGATGATGGACAGAGATCTTATGTGTTCAGGCAGACACTAAATACCTAACTTACCTGGATAAAGTCACCCACCAACCATGTCATCATTCTCTATATTTCCATAGGGCCTAGTATTTCCTCTGAAATTTGGTGAATAATTTGGTACATACCAGTATGCATAGTATGAAGTATGCAGAACTCTTACCCAAGCAAAAGTAGCAATACCACTCTGTAAAAGGGCCATTCCACCATATGGGTGCTATTTGTGTCCCCAGGACATAAAATGTATGCATAAAAATTTACTTTAAAATACTTTTTATTATTAAGCAAAATGCCCTGCACATTAATACAATTGCAAATGCAAGATAAATAAATTTAAACATTAATAAAAATAATCTAGAACACTGAGACATAGCATTTTCTACCTGTCCCTACTCCCTAAAACTACACTCTACAATGTAATATAATGATTAAAAAACTTGAGAAATCTTGGGGGTTTTTTTGCATTTATGAGTGACTCCATATCCCATCTATGCTTTAAACATTTTTTCTTCATAAAATGTTTGTAATATTTGAGTTAAAATGCACATTTTAGTGGTGTCCCCAGGTTATCACTCAGTCCTGTTACCCTAATACATTCCCCCCTCTAAAAAAAATGGAACATTCCACAAGTCCCATGTTTAAGAGAAAGTTGCATCATCTGCATCTTCTGAAGGTCATGGGAAGACCAAAAGTAAGTTCTCTAATTTTCTTTTCCTTATATTTAATGATATTGTAACTACGACGGAGAAGGTCAGTTACAATATTCATTCCTGTTACCTAAATTATTTCTTAGACTTAATTGTTTATTTTAAAAAATAAACTTTAAATAAATAAATAAAATTTGTGGTGAATCACTAGAAAGTGCTCAGTGTCCTCATGCTAACATTGACACCATGTCACTATATTTCATGTATTTGCTAACTCTATGCTAAAAGCTCAGTCCTGTTACTTTCAGTCCTGTTACTCAAATACACTCTCTTCACCCTCTTAGGACCGTGTCCAGAGGGGAACTTTCAGATTTTTCATGGGCTTTATTCTAAATCCAGATTGGAGGTATGAAACTAGATGACCTAATGCATCCATTGGTACAATGCATTTCTTTGCATTTGGTATAACTGGGTTATTTTTCCCTAGTGTATTTGAATATTTCTGCAAATTGTTACCCAGCGCTCATTCCTGTTACCCAGCGCTCATTCCTGTTACTAAATTGCTTAGTTTAAAAAATAAAAAAAATAGATAAACCACTATTTTTTCTTTTATGGTGCGCAAGTCATTTATCCAATTGTTTAATAAATTACATGATAAAAACATTGATGAACCTGAGGTTTCAGTCTCCTTTAAAACAAAAAAAAGTGGTGCATTTTTTTGAAAAATACAACTTGCATGCATATAAAGTACATTTTTTGTTACAAATATTACATTTTTTTGAACATGTAACCAACACTTTATTTAAAATAAACACTTTCTTTAGGGAAAAACAAAGGAATTATTTGACCTGCTTTTAAACATTTTAAACATACAGGCCTACATAAGTAAAAGCCTTATCAAGATAATTTATATAACAATACAAAAGCAACTAGAAGAGTGCAGATCTCCGCCAGGCCTGGCAAAATGATATCATGGATAGGCGTATAAATGGCATGCCTCTTTTCAGGACATTTTGTGTGTCATTTCTAACATTTTAAGCTTTTTGCATGTCATTTAACACTGTTAGAGACGCCCCATTTTACGAGTTATGGACTTTCAGGAAAGGAAGAAGTCAGGCGACCTTCGGTGTCAAGATAACAAAAATAAACACGTGTTAACATTATGAAACGGGCGCAGTTTGGTTAGGTTTAGGTAACAAAACTACTTAGTTAGGATTATGAAAAGATCATGGTTTAATATAAGTAGGCTACATTAGTTAATGTCAGACTACTTTTGTAATACGATTACTTTCTTAAACAGATTACTGTCTTTATCAGATAGTAATTTTATTGCTTTTGTAAATAGAAAATCCAGTCATCAGATTATCAGATTACTTTATACATCTTTAAAATTAGATTACATTCCAATTTTTTTATTACAAAATTAAATTAAAGTAAACTAGATGAGTGCACTAAGCAGAGTGCAGATCCCTGCTATGAAGAATATTACATCAATGTCTTAAGTCATACGTGTGTTATCCAAGGACCGTATAAAAAGGTGTTTTCACGCCTGTATTGCTTTTGGCGTGTTATTTCATGGTATTCAGTCTCCATTGACTTAAACTATATTGCCCAAAGTATTGGGACACCCCTCCGAATCATTGAATTCAGGTGTTCTAATCACTTCCATGGCCACAGGTGTATGAAATCAAGCCCCTAGACATGAAGACTACTTTTACAAACATTTGTGAAAGAATGGGTCGCTCTCAGTAGCTCAGTGAATTCAAGTGTGGTACTGTGATAGGTGGCCACCTGTGCAATTAGTCCATTCGTGAAATTTCCTCACAACTAAATATTCCACGATCAACTGTTATATAATAAAGTAATATAACAAAGTGGAAGCGATTGGGAACAACAGAAACTCAGCCACGAAGTGGTAGAGATGTTTGTAGAGGTTCAGCCAAAGTGTCTCACGAAAATAGGATTAAAAACAATATTAGGCAGATAACTGGAACAACAATGTTAAGATTTTAAGAGATGATATTTTTTATAGATTTGTTTAACTTTCTGTAGGCCTATGCATGTATTCGTTTATGTTTGTACTGCATTATTAGGCTACAGTCATCCACTGTTCTTCACATTATGGTGTGGAAAATGTCCTCTTTTCACCAGCTGTTGATCAGTTACAGCTCATATCTGGAGGAACATTTGTGTTTGATTTACGCTCTTTACAGATGGTCTAGTTGAATCTGCCTGCATGTGAATGCACCTGCTACTTTCCCACCATGATAACAAATATGAACTCTTGTTTTTAAAGTTTCCTTAATGGAAAAAAATGCAAATACAATGAATATATAACTATATATATGGATTTTGAGAGTTTTATACAGTTTCTGACTACCTGTAAAGAAATCTCACATTTTTCATGTGTTCCCCATTCTTCACCACAACATGACATGGTGTACGTTCAATAATCTACATGGATTAGAGATTTTGGCAGGTGTAACTTAAATGGTTGCCTAATACTTTCTGAAGGTCTTCCAGTCTCAAACTGATATAAATAGTTAAAAACAAACTGCCACTTGCTCTCAGCGCTCCAACATGATTTGGCTTGTGGCTTTTCTGTCCTGCATTGGTAAGTTTTTCAAGAAATACACCAGCACAATTTACAATCTACTTTTTTCAATGCTGTTTGTGAACATTGAAACAACATCACAGTAATCTCTGCTCATGTTCATGTGTGCACTAAAGGGCTGATTTGTGCTGAAACACCCTTCAACCATAATGTACACAATCAGAGGGTCATAGGAGGCCATGATGCTAAACCCAACACCTGGAAATGGCAGGTAAAACCTACAAGCACGTAATGATATGACTAAAATTAATTTCAATATTTCATGTATTTTTGTCCTAGATACTACTGCCAGTGTTTTCATTTTAATGTTCAGGCCATTCATTTTTTATGTGCTGTGGGATTTCCATATTTCTTATTGAACAAATAGGTTCACTATTGAGCCACTGTTCCTCGTCATACTGAATGATTTCTGAATAACGTTAAACCCTCTACCTGTTTGTATTTGGTCTCTGTTTTCTCTCAGGCTTCTCTGCAGTATGATTCATACAATGATGGTTATTTCTACCACATCTGTGGAGGCACTATCGTTCATGGTTTCTACATTATGACTGCGGCTCACTGTATCCTCAGGTTGGGTCTTATTGGAATCAACATACGCCTACTATTTGCACTTGTGAACATGTAACATGGTGCTGCATGCTTATCCCCTATCTGCTGGATGAATGCCTGTAATGCACAACATGTTTCTTTTGTTTCTGTCAGCATGGATGCTAGTATGTACCGTGTGGCGGTGGGTGAGTATAATCTGTACGAGTATGACGGCAGTGAGCAGTTCATCCGTGTGGAAGCGATTGCCGTCCATCCCGGCTGGACTGAAGACCTTGCCAAGGGGTAAAGTGACCGCAAGTCAGAACACTTCTCTTAATTTGACCCTAAGGCAAGCTATAAAAAAGCACAATTTTACTGATAGCAAAGGGCATGTTTTGGTCATGTGCATTCACATTTACAACTGGGAGCAATCCTGAATTACAACTTCCCTCAATTTTGGTCACAGTGTTTTTCTCTATTCTTTTTAATACTCTTATATAACTTGCATTGTCTATTCCATATTTATATATTTCTACATTTATTTATGTCAACTGTATGTTTGTCTACGTGTAGCACCTTATCACCAAAGCAAATTCATCGTATGTGTTAAATCGTCTACTACTTGGTAATAAAGCTCCTTCTGATTCTTCTGATTCTGATTCAGAGCTGTAGTACTTTGAAATGAGCAGATTTGAACAGAACTATCGCATCTCCTCCCCACTGCATTTTTTTTTGTCTATTAGAAATGATATTGCTCTCTTGAGACTCGCTAATCCTGTGTATAACAACGGCTACGTGGCTATTGCCAACCTTCCCAGTCCTGGCGAGATGCTGCCTCATGGTTTCACCTGTTACATCACTGGCTGGGGACTTATGGACTGTGAGACCCACAGATACTATATAGCCGATGCATTTATGTACATCTAATAAAAAAACAACCTCCTACACTCCCTCTTCACTCACTTCTTTCACAGACATAGGGAGCATCCCTGCTGTCCTACAGGTGTCTCCCATCGCTGTGGTGGAGCATTCTGTCTGCTCCCAGCCTGAATGGTGGGGCAGCATTGCTCTGAGATCCATGGTGTGTGCTGGAGGGGATGGAGTCGTATCAGGCTGCCAGGTACAGCAAACAGATGTGTGCATCCGTCCAGTGCAGGGCAGTTAGTTTTGTCCTGAAACCAGTTTGCCTCAACCCCAAACAAGCAAGGGTGTTTATATATATTATAAACATATATTATTTGTATACATTATTATATTTCTGCATTCATTTGTAAAGATAGCAGCTCTCCAACATGACATATCCTCCTCGAACAATATTTTGGGTCTCATTTCTAGTTATAAAAATACTTTTTAAATTTCCAAAAATCAAGGACAAATAAATTTTTCCTGTTATCTAAAATCATATTTAAACTTATAGCTATAACTTATCATATTTTAACTTAGACTTATTTAAATATGATAATTCTGACAACAGTAGCAGCTACTGTATATCAGGAATTATCCCTGCCAGCAAGCAGATCTATGGCTAAGAAAAAGCTGTATAAAAGAGGCTGAGTAAGAGGTAAAGTCGTTGCACGGTCTTCAACCTGGACCTTCTCGTCTTGTGTCTGTTCTTTTGCTACCTGTCCCAGGGCGACTCTGGGGGTCCCCTGAGCTGTTTCACCGACGGAGCCTGGCGAGTCCACGGTGTTGTCAGTTACGGTCCAGCTGGCGAGTGCAACCAAGTGTCTAAGCCCACTGTCTTCACCAGAGTCTCTTTCTTCCAAGACTGGATCTCTTCAGTAAGCCTCTATGATGTGATTCTGAAAAAGACACCAAATTCTGTCTGCATATTTCAGCTGCCTGACTTTTTATTTCTTGTTTTTTTCCCCTCACAGTTTGTACAACATCAATAGACAGTGCAGTGTTTTGTCCATACAGTCAAATGGAACCTATGAAATAAAATTAACATGCATCTCAAACGTTTGTGTTAATTGTTTTCTTGTAGTTCTTAATTTAGCCAAACGGTGGCAATAGTGGCTCATGTTCAGAGTAACTATCATGCTGACTCCTCTCAAGCTTTGATGTGTTTCTTGGCACTCATGTAATTTCTCACAGTTTCAGAAATGTATTGCTCACTGGATGCATTTTGTATTGATTTACTTTGTTTACAACCAGTCTGCAAATGGGGCCACTGTTAAAGGGTCATTATACCAATACAAGTAGGAATGGTTACAATCCTGATCCCCTGACCTCCCAAGCTCCTAAGCTCTCAGGATCTTTTGATGGGAATGGACTTCTTTTAGGCTAAAGGCTTAAGTGGCAATGTGGCACAGAGGTAAAACCCTTTTATGTAGCCAGAACCAAAGAAAACCAAAAAAGAAGTAACATCTACCTAAAGACTTAAGAACCCAATTTACTTAATGGTGGCCAAATGTGAGCCATCTATATGTAGTCACCAGGCCGTCTGGGTTTTCTGGCCATATGTTTGCGGTGGTAGTCAGAAGACTACAGCATGACATCACAAAGTGTTTTGCTTTTAACCATGGAGACCAGAAGCCACAGATGAATTCCTGTGGTCCGCACAAAAACCCCCCAAAAGAATGTCACTGCATCTAATGTAGTGTGAGCCGTCTACCGCCTATAATCCTACAGTATAGAGAATACAAGGATTTTACTAGATTAAACCACAAAACTACTGAAATTGTTTTCCTACTTCATAAAATATGCATAAGATAAATCAAAGAACGTGACTGTGTGGGCATATTTGCTTATGCGCCTGTGAATCTAAACTTCAGTAAGGTTTATTATATACAAAAGTTCACTTTAACAAATCAACGAACAACAGAGTCAAGCATTTAGAAAATGTTTTTTTATTGTTATTAGGAGGGACAGGCTGTCAAAATGGCTTAGATGAAAGAAACTGTTTTTGAACAGCAGGTTAAAGTGTGAATATGTAAAAAATAAAGCAGCTTTGTTTGCTCTGCAGGACCATTCAAGCAGAAATATGTACAACACAAAAGGCAAAAAGTAAGACACGTTCTTTGAAAATAAAATTAAAAAAAAGCTGTACTGTAATACATTACATTGATAAACACTCACGGTTGCCATTTCTTCATGAGAATTGATGTTTTGTACAAGAGAAACAAATGTTTGCTTGCAAAAATCAGTGCCCTCTTCATGGCGTAAGAACATGGATTTCAAAGTAATCAAAAAGGCAAAAAGCGAATAATACATTTCGAATGTGCACTCAGCACTTTTCAAAGTATACAATTAATCAGAACAAGTTTTAACAAACAGGACCTGCATGCATAATTTCTAAAGGGTCCAGAAAGGCTGTTGAAACAGCTGTAGAAAGGGTGAGATATGTACATCAACTCTCTAGTGTCCTCAACTGTTCACACAGGTGACAGCAGAATCAACTTTGAAAAGTCTTGTTCTACAATTAATGAGGCAACTCTTCAATTTTCAGGGTTTGTGTGTGCAATAAAAAATGTATAATATATGCAGTTTTTATCCACAAAAACCCTTTACATGTGTAATTTATAACGTAATGTAACCCAAGTCACAGACTTCCCAAAAATTCAGAATACAATCAAATTGATCTTTGCAATTTCCTTTTTTTTAGTGGCATTTCGCTAAGATATCAAACCATAAGACTGCCTATGAAAAATACTTCAGAACGCTAGAGAGCAATAACCTTCATAAGTATACATTTCTCTATAATTCATATATTACAAAGGTTGTCCCAGATTGAAAATTATTCATTTTGCTTTCTTAATAAAATATTAAATTTTTCAGTGATTAGAATTCTTTTGTCAACCTACATAAATTAGTTACAAAATATTAGTGTAATTTTCTATGGTTACATTATAGGCAGCGATACAATAGACCCATAATTTAGTTTCAGTGATTAGGGAGATTCCACAGTTTTCAGTCCAAAAGCTTAAATGGAAGCGCTGTGCACACACCAATGGCTCCCCTGATAAGCAGGCACATCCAGTAAACTTCACAACACCCCATTTTATTGCCAAAATGTCTTAAATTAAATAACTAATGAAATGATGACATAATAAGTTACCAAAGAAAATGTTAAATGTATAAGAGAATAGATATTAAATACTTTGTTGGACATGTGGTCCCATTTCCCATAAAAACGCCGAAAGGTGATATGGAAAAAAGGAAGGAAGATTGCACTTTCAGGTGAAAATATCAAACCACAGTGCTTCTTGAGTGAAAGTAGGCTTTATCTGAAATAAATAAAATAAAATCATGAAGGAAATAATTTAAAACAAAAGTAATAAAAGACAATACAGCTACAGCTTTGAATGGTATGAGCATAATTTGTAGTTACCCAGCTCATAAATAGGAAACTCTTTAATTTAGCGTTGAACTGCTGAATCGACCCCATACAACCAAAACGATGCCTATTCATACATAGCTATTTTCACAGATAAAGTGCTGATCGAGGAGCTTTTAGAGGGAATTTTTTTTTGTACCATATAAGACCCATGGGAGAGACGTTGAGGAGAAAGAGTCCACTAGCTTCAGGATTCAACACAGGGAGGACCCCTACCTACTCAAGTCACCTGGGTGTAAGCCCAAAGGGAGAACATGAACAGGACTATGTTGTGATTTGACTCGGGTTTCATATGAAGGCCATCACAGCAATGGTCACCATACATTGCCTCCAAAAGCTAGAAAGCTAGAAAAAATCCCTGAGGTGCACATTCAGCTGTGTTGAGATTCCCAACCTGGCCCCCAGTTAAAGTTGATTCCTGTTCAGCATAAGGTTGGCGATCTTGGTTTGGTTAAAAGAGCTTTCTTAGGAATTGAGAGCCATCATTGGTTTCTATGGGCCTGGTCAAATTGATCTTCATTTTTGTATCTTTTCACTTTTAACACTAGCTGCCATCTCACACAGCAATAATCCCAAACTGCTTTGCTAACGTTTTGAAGGCAAGTCTGGAATTTGAACATTTATTAGGCAAGAGGGAAATCACAGCTTCCTCCGAAAATCACGTTGACATTGACTTCTTATGTGCATGTTCAGCCCCCTCCCCAAACCCCTGTTTTTTTTTCTTGCACTATCCGCACATTTTCACGTTGTGTCAAACCTTCACAGACTCCATCACAGACAATTTCATGGCTTCCTCCAACAGCTGATTGTCTGTAAATGTGGCAGGGGGTTCTGGGACGGATTCTGAAAGGCCAATCAGTGACTCCAGGAGGCAGGTCCCTGGGTCACTCGCCGGAGGGAGGCTGGGGTAACTAGGCAACTGAAACTGAAAAAAGTTGTCCATGTGTTCATACTCCTTGAGGGAGTTGTAGAGCGAGCTGGGCCCCAAGCAGGGGAAGCCGTCAAAGAACTCCAGGTCTGACTCCGAGGAGAGGCTCAGGTCCATGTTATAGCTCGCAGAGCGATCAACGGAGGGGGAGGGCGTGCGTGGCACACTACTGCTATGGAATAGGGCGTTTCCCTGGTTGGCGTTCTCATCCAAAAGTTCTGAGATGGCTGTTGCTCGATTGTCTGTGTGATCATCTGCAGAGTCCAACAGTGCAGCGTCTATATTGTCATTTTCGTCAGCAAAGTCCACCATGCTAAAGCTAGTAAAAGTCTCCGTAGATGGCGGCTGCTTTTCTTGCTGTTGATCTGGGCAGCAAAAGTTTTTACAGTCCCCGCCTTCCCTGCTACTTCTTGAGCCGGTGTCGCTGAAACTGAGAATGCGGCTCAGGCCTTTCTCATCGACATCCAGCTGGGTGTTATGCACACACCGGCTTTCGCCTACCTCGGAGTCCTCGCTCTGACCTGAAGAGTCTGAGTCTGTCATATCGCTGCTGCAACTGTTCTCTCCAGCTACCGCCAGTTCCGAGTTAAAGGGAAAGGAGGGTACTGCTGGTAAGGGGGTGGCTGCTGTTGTGTTCTCCTCCTCCTCCTCCTCTGTGCTAGACTGCTCCTCCAGTCTCTTCTCCAGCTCCAGCTTCATGATAGTGTGGATGTAATGCGTCTGTACCCTGGTAGAGTTGAACTCAATGCGACCCTCTGTGTTTCCGCAGCCGTCCTTCGTACAGCCACATGGGAAAGAGGAATGATCCATCTGTGAGAAGCAGAAAGAAGTCGTTAAATTACTTGTGAAACTCAAAAGAAGAGTCCCAATTGTACTGTGATTGCCCTAATTGGTGAACTTCCTATTCTCAATTTTATGGTTTTCTCAGCTCTTTACCTGACATTTGATGCCAGCCAAGCTGCAGCTACACGTCTCAGGTTCGCAGAAACCCTGGCAGTCGCAACCGCAGTTCTCCCTGGAGATCCTCAGCTCATGCAGGTGCCTCTTCTCCTCCTTGTCAATCTTTTTCACACCAGCTGCTTTGAGCAGTGCGTAGCGATGTTTAGGCGGGTAAGGCTGGAGGAAAGAGCCCTCATCCAAGTTGGCTCCACTGATGTTGATGTCCTGCTCGGGGATGTCGTCCACTGTTAGCCGCTCGGCCTCCTCACTCTCTTGGGTTCCATTGTTAGTCAGCTGGAGAGAACAAAAGGCATGAAATGTTTTATTGTTGTATTGAATGTGTGTTTCAGAATTTGGGTATTTTTGCTAATTATCCAGTACATTTTTAGGGCAAGTTAGCTCACCTTCAGTTTGAGAGCCTCCAGCTTCTCCTCCCTGAGCCTGTTGAGGAGTTTTTCCCGGCGTAGGAGCCGCTGCTCCACAGCATACTCAGCAAGCGTATACGTGCGGAGCACGCTGTGGCGCTGCATCATGCCCAGAGTGCATCCTCCTCGACTAGGAACACTGGTGAAGCCCTGGCACCGTGGGAAGAAGAACACCGTCACCTGGTCAAAGGTCACGTTGCCCCGTCGTGCTCGCTTGGATTTCTTAAGGATGGATGTTGCTGTGGATGGAGAAAGAATAGATTTAGGATGCACATTGTCCAAGAGGGAGATTAGTGTTTTCAACAGGAGGTGTGTTCTGTTGAACTGCTGTAATTGCTTTAATGTGCCACTAGATGGCATAATGCTTCATCACTTGAAGTCTTGAGACCTGTACAAACCCTGCTGGAGAGACTGTAAAAGGACACCCCTCTGATTCATTGCCCCCTCCGTCCTCAACCAAACCTTATCATGTACCCAATTAAAAGACATTGCTAACAGTCACTTACATCCTGTAAAGTGAAACTTAAACGACCAAGAATCCATTCAGCCTTGTTTCATGTCCTACTATGCAGCAAAAAAATAAAATAAAATAAAGCCCAGTTTCCCCTTGGTGGCCAACACAGTGGAGGAAGCTGGACTGCCAGGATCACAAACTGGTGGGTAAATGCTCTGGGCTTCCAGAAGATGTGGAGGGTGGAAGTGTAGCTCTCAGGACAGGAATAAAAACTGCCCACCCTGGTCTCCCTGCTTGCTGACAATCCCCACAAATGGCCCAGTAACTGAGGGGAGTCAAAGGTCCTTTCTCTGTTAAAACATTCAGGACCCACAGCAACCAGCCATCTTTCTATACCCAGACACAAATACAATAAAACCATATGGGAATCGAAGTGGAACCATATGTGGGAACAAGCCCAACAATTATTCAAGCTTTATTATAAATTCCACTTCCTCTGCCCAGAAATACTCAACATGACTTTAGAGCCTTGCTTAAAGACATGTTCCTCTGCTTAAGCCGCCAGAGCCAATGTTTTTTTTGTGTGTATGTGTGAACAGAAAGGGATGCCAATTTACTCCACGTGCCGAGCATTGCCTTTATTATGTGGTGGGGTATTCCTTATATATTCCCATTTTCTCAGCAATTGAGCTTTCTTGGAACAACTGCCCGCAAAATTCACAGGAGTCAAATGGGAAAATCTGTGTACTTGGTGTGATAATTGAAGCTCAGATGTCGAAAGCAACCTTTTACCCCAATGCAGGTACAGACAATAGCTATACTATGTCTTATCTGACGCTAGGGGAAATACAGATGAAACAAACTGCCAGTTCCAGCTTCACATCCATCAAATTCAGTCAGGCTTATGACACCTGCAGGAGACAAATGACACCTTCTCCGCTGCCTCAAAATGGGATAGCTTTGCAGGCCGTTTTCCCCCCTTCACTTCCCAATGGCAGGCAACTTTCTGTCCAATACAAACACCGGATTTATAATGGTCTGCACAATCTGCTCTTCTAGATGCATGACTTCTATTCTTGATAGGCCTATCCCCCCTTGTTTTGTATCCCTTCACCCAGCCTCTTTTAGCACCTGTGCTGGGTGCATGCCCAGGCTTCAGACAAGGCTCTGTGTGTTCCCAGCCTTGGCAACTTGCCATGCTTCTCCTCCTGGCTCCCTGCCCCACCATCCTGGAAACCTCACAACTGTTTGCCCTTCTCCCCTACAATCCCTCTCCAACCCGACCGGCCCCCAAAGGCCAGCAGACGCACCCAATTCCAGACAGAAACACCCCGAAGCCGCTCGACCCACATCTCTCAATGAAAGGTGGGGCAATGTCTGTCCTCAAGGCTCTGGGAAGAAGGTGGAGACAGAGCCAAGGTGTGCAGCCACTGCATAATGCGATTAGCCATTTTGCAGCTTTAGGGCATGAAATCAAAAGGGGTATTCATTGCAGAAGTCTGAAATCATTTCTGTGAAGTGTTTCATGGGCTGCCAGCTGCCTAAATTCCTTAACTCTTCCCCATTTTTATGGGTTTGTTATCAGAGCCTCCGCGGAGCAGTAAAGACAAGGCGAGAGAATGCATTTAAAAGCATGTACCATCAGCTCTTTGTATGATTTATTATTGCTGGAAGAGGACACTCACTGTTGAAATGTTTTGCTGGGGAGCTGGGGTTGCTTGGAGTGGAATCCAGGGTGTCCGAGTAGCAGCTCTCTCCCTCCGAGTCCCAGCCTGAGCAGGCAGAGGAGAGGGAGGAGGGTGAGGAGTAGCATGGGTCCTCATCCACCTCCTCAAACTTCCTCTTGAGAAGCCCACTCATGGCGTTAGTGTGAACAATCTGCATGAGAGAGCAGAAGGAGGGGTTATTAACCAATTATTCACACTTATTTGAATAGCTTTGTTCCGTCTTATGAATGTAAAGTACCTGGAAATAGAACACAACCAGAAATGCCATACAATATATGTTGCATGAACGCTATTGTACACACGCACAGGCTTTTAACAGTGATATTGGCAGAAGAGAGTCTTGTGCTCGGCCATGTGAGACCATTGGCATCCCAACCTCGTGCTGCACTCAGCTGAGAGTGGAAATAAGGCATGGCACAGGAAGCAATCAATCAGGCCTATTCGCATAAGTCAACAATTACTGGACCCTTCGCCCTCTTCCAAATCCCATCAGCTCGGCAAATGCATTGATTAGAGAGAAGGACAGAGCACAGAGGTGAACAAATCATCTAGCAATAGACATTTAATTTCAATCATTCCCTTTAGGCAGCCATCACTATCAAATACGTGGGCCAAGGCCAGGGCAATTTGCCACTTGTCCTTTTTAATGTGTTCAAATGGCTCTCATAGTAAATATGTACAGCTACGCATAGTCAAGATGTTTTGTTATGCAACTCCTGCAAGTTTGTTTTTTTTCCTGCGCTCCTGGGAGAGGGGCTGCTGGTTCAGCGATAAAAACAATCACTCCTTTGAGAGACACAGACAGGCAGGCAGACAGAGGCTGGAGGGGAAAAAAAATGAGCACCAGTTTTACCCTCTAATTTTCTAAAACATTGCCCAATATCTGTGAAACCTTTTCCATGTACAAGCTTAGCTGATATCTTTAAATCTTATTTAAGTCAATGAATAACACTCCCATAGCTCAACCAAGTCAACCTCCTGTCTCCTCAGCTTGTTCCAGGGGAAAAAAAAAACCACTGACATGAAAAATTTACATGCAGGATGAGAAGGAAGGTTTACTGCTGGTTTTGTTTTATGGTATGTAGCTGCGTCACGTAGCTCTGACAAACAACAGATAATCTTCTACAGAACTTCTGGGAAGCGCAAGGCCATGGTGACTGGTAGACAAGACAGGTCATCATCGCAGTCCGGGGGCCAAACTCCTGCTAACTTAAACAAAGAGAGACAGAGGGAGGAAGGAAGTGAGGGGAGAGGGAAGACATGACTGGGCTCAACTCCAGCGCAGACACTCCCTACGATGATGTGGAATGAGAAATGAGGCTTGTACTTTACCCATAAAGGGATCATTTCACCATCAAACTGTTTATGGTCTTCGAACTCGCAGCCAAATCACTTACAGCTGCTCAAGCGTGTTATGGATGGAATTTTTTTTTTGCTTTGTTTGTTCAAATATTTGCTTGGTAATACCTATAATTTAGAAAAAATGTTTATAAGGAACTGTCAAAGTGTATTTTAGCACTCTTTTTTTTTTTGGGGCTTTTTTTAATGGAGGGGTTGGGGGGGGGGGGGGGGGGGGGGGGTCTTAAATGCATGTCCCGACCATGTCAATTATTAGATCGAACACGGCTCAGACACGAAGCTGTCCTGCCAAAGGGCTAATTTGTGAGCACTACTCCTTAGAGGGCAGCTAAATGTGTCAACGGCAGGGTACGTCACGCATAGAGATCCTCCAATGGCTTTAGAGAAACCTTTAACTTTGTGTGTGATCTGCTGGACGTCTGGCTTGTCTTATCAGGCTGTTATGTAAGTGTTAGTACTTCAAGAGCGGGGGGAATTTTCAGCATGGAACAGGGAGCAATTATGCAAAACCAGTTCAGTCAAGGGCAAGAGGCTGACACATTTGTATAGGCAGTGGGGGCAGCTGTGCAGCTGGATAGGGGGTTATTGCTGCAGTAAGATGTTGTTGTCCCCAGTGCACGTATGATGAATGAATCACCTTGCAATAGGTCAAGCTGGCTCATACTGCCTCTGCAACAAACACAAAGGTTTCCACCTCAGCGTGCTTTACATTACCGATCCAATGAGAAAAGCAGCCGCTGATTTGCCATCCATCAATTTACTTGAGCAGGAAATAATCTCCAAAAGCCTTTCACAGCCACTAATATTATCACATCATGGGATTTGCCTTGAAACAATTTAGAAACACCTGGGTGCAGCATCTGTTGCTTATGTATTCACTGATCAGAAAAGTGTACTCTAAACGCCACAGCATACATATCTCGAGAAAGGAGAACACATGGGTTCACCTTACATTTTTGCCATCACTCCCACCCCTCTTTTCCCCATTAAAAAAATGAAAACAAAGCTGTGAGGCATCGTCAAGGGAGTGCATAGCGCCAGCTAAGCAAAGTCTTTTTAATTAAAAGCTGCAGTGAGGCAGAAGGGGGAGGAGAGGGAGAGATGTGGGGGGGCAGTGGTGTCAGAACTGGGTCATTGTCTCTTGACTGCAGTCTACCTGACACATTGATTTGTTAATCCTGTTCAACGGGCAGAAACAATGGTGAGAGGTTAATCCTGGCAAGGGGACGGCTTGTAGTCAATCTGGAGGTTCTCAGCCTGCTCAGCCGCTGCAGCCACACAACAAGGCCAAAAGAGGCCAGGCAGAGCGGACGGGACAAGGGACTGGGGGTAAAAAGACAACAATCGTGCATTTACTCATTTGCAAAAGGTAGGAGGGAGGGAAAAAAAAGAAACAAAGATAAAAGAGTTCAGAGAATTGAGATCCAGCTTCTCAAGAAGGCAGTGCCTGTGAATGTCTGCTTCTAAATGGAGAATGGATGTGATCGGACAGCCGAGCCAGGGAGGGAGCACAGCATGTTTTCAACGCGCACTAAATTATGCATCGCTGTCATTCCATCAACCGCACACAGGCAGGCAGATAAAGGACGCATCCGCAGAGGTGCTCCCCAGCCAGTTGTCACGAAGTTGGGAAGATAAATCTCTGGCGAGGAGATTTGTCACCAGAAACACTACACAGCTCACGTCAGATGCAAAACTATGTCAGTCGAATAAGATTATCTTGATACATGCAGCTACAGGCTGTTAATATGACTTCAGAATCCCAATTCAGTTCTACTTTATCTGCAGACAGCTACTCAAGTTCTTATTAGGGAATCTTAAATTATTCGAACAGGGAAGAATGTATATGCTGAAATACGAAATATGCTGAAACCATTTTGGCTTAATAAATCACTCATTAAAAACATTCAACAGCAAATAAGCAAATTTCTCTACCTCTTAACTTTTGCTAATAGCTTAAAAACGGTATTTAGTGTGAAACAATCCATTCCAGTCATTTCTACTTTTCCCAACGTGACAGAAGAGTTGACAAAAAAGAATTTATTAAACAGGAGAAGCCCAAAGGAACAGGTAACCCATGAGGACAGAGTGGAATTTGTGTGTCGAGGAACATCTAAAATCTTAAATCTTAAAGGCCTAGGGGATTTTTTTAAACACATCCCTACATATGTAGAGACATCACCCAGCAGCCTGTTTAACCTGCCTCGGTTTGCCCTGCAGCACAGCAGTACAAGTCACAGTTGACTTTGCCCCTTGCACAGGCTGTTCAGCCCCTTTGCAGCTGATAACGTGTGGGTGGGTCAGACAAGTAGCACTAAACTTAGCCATCCGAGAGCATTTACATGGCACGCTGACAACTAAGTGCAGTGTCTGAATGAGTGACTTGAGTTGAGTGCTCATAAAATGTGATAATGATGAGCTTGGGAGTCTTCCTGCGTGTTTGGAAGCGTGTCTGGGCAGACTTCAAGGTATTGCACCTCTCACTTCCAGGTCTGTCACTGAGAAGACAGAGGTAATTGATCGGAGCCATCAAGGTGACAATAGGGCTGCATTCCAGCTCCTCCTGCACAGCTGGGGAAACACTGGCTCAGCTGTTACTCAGAAGTGCTCCACCTGCTGGAACAATGCAGGGAGAGCTCTGGCTCTAGCTCTGTCTCTCTCTCTCTCTCTCTCTCTCTCTCTCTCTCTATGAGCCTGTTGTTCTCGCCGAAGCCACGAAGCTTGCCGTGACTCTGCCACAGAAACATTCTGTTCCTCTGCCTCGACCCGTGCGCACACTGATTCCAAAAAGGAGAGGTAGTGGGAAGAAGGAGGGAGGATCTTAAAAAACAAATAAATAATGTCATGTCTCCAAGCCACAAGAATTCCATTCTGGCTGCACCACTCTTGCTGTAATAGTGGGAGAAGAACACAGGCTCTATGTAACCCAGATGTGTTTTCTACTGCTAACCACTGGAAAGTCCTACTCACATAAGTTAGCAGAGCGAGCTACCTTTCCTAGCCACACCTGACAGGGTATTAGCTTGCACGTGGACCTCACATGCCCTCAGCTGTCATTAATCTGTTATGCAGGACAAACTTGAACAGCCAGGTGATGCCTGCAGAAGTCAGACTGTGTACTCCTTCTACTGATTTGTTAGTTTATTAACATTTTGAATCAAAAAGGGGGTTAAAGAACTGATTTTAAGTTAAGTGCTAATTCCTAGGGAAAGTTTCACTATGCAGAGAGTGTGGGATAAAATAAGATATAACTTATTAATCCTCTGTAGGGGAAATTTCGGTTGACATAGCAGCACAAAGGAATATAAAAGTACAGATGCAGTATTGTAGTAGTATTAACACACTATTTACACTATACAATCAACACAATACAATGTTGTGGAGCCTGATGGACAAATGAGACAAATGAGTAGAGAAAAGAAGCAGAAATGTGAAGCTGTGGTCTGTTTTTTTCTGACAGATTTGCATGTTTCAGAAACTGTGCAGTGTGTAAAAAAAAAAAGAAAAAAAGGCAGAGTTGAGAAACTCTCAAGAAAAGCATTCCTTTGCATAACTGTCTACTAGCAGCAAACATGCAGCTCTGGTGTGTGTGTGTGTATGGAGGAAGGGAGGAGGTGGTTGTGGGTTCAGGGGTCGTGCTCCAGTCTGGGACACTTGCTGTATGGAATGCTGGGAGAGGACAAAGCAGATGGGAGCTCTCCACTGCCGTGTGGGAGACCATCAGCAGAGTCCCTGCAACCCCCACCTTCCCCCCTCCTCCTCCTCCTCTTCTTCTTCAGGCACAAAAGCGTGGGGCCATCCTGCGTGACCAAAATGAAGCAAGCACAGACAACCTAGTCTGAACCCAGCACTGCTGCTGGAGACAGATACTAAAAAAGTGTGTGTGAGCTTCCTGAGCTTGTGAAACACATGGTGCACAGGAAGTGGCCATCCAGATTATCTATGCTGTATCTGACAGCTGCAGGCACCACAAGGTTAGCACAGGATCATATGATGGAGATGAGGGAGTCAGGAGGTATGGGTAGTATTTAGCATGGGTGAAATCCCTCCAAATATTGCACAGAGTTTAACACACTGGTAAGTTATTATTATTTTTGGAGACACCAGGTTGGAAAATGTGAGCTAAAATCGAAAATTATGCAACATAAATGCACATAAATACTTATTCAACATCACTGCACATTCCTGGGAAATGCATGGCACATGAAAGGCACAGCATCAAGTGCTATATCCATTCTCTATTAACAAAGGATCTTTCAGCTCTCTGTTGCCTAATTCCAGAAAACATGATTCTAAAAATGATCCTGGTGAGGTCGCGCTAGAGACGATTCAATTGATTCAGCCGCTTTACAATCGCCCTATAAAACGAGAGCCTCAGACTGTAGTGTTATTTCTGAAGGAATAAAAATGCATTAATAACAGCTTCTGATGAGGATCATCACAACAAACAGCAAGCGTTGCTTTTCCACAAATTAAATACAAGACACAAGTAGAAGGCTGTGCGTCATAATCATTGATAATGACATGGAAATATCCCCATGTGCTGTTATGAAAAAAATTGTTCAAACAATGAAGGCGCTCAGCATCCCGTCCCCACACCTGACTGCCTTAACTGCTATCTGCAAGAGGTGAAAGCTTAAAAAAATTAAAGAGAGGATCAACCATTAATCAGAAATTAATCATTAAATGTGGCTGAACGTGTGCGTCGTGAGGCCAGGGCTGCGCTCCCAGCCCCGCTGACCCGATCATTCCTCATGATTAATGCTAATTCCAGTGACAGCAGCCCTGTCAGCTGTGTGTGCTCACATGTAGTGCCTTCAGGAGTCGCTCGAGTTACAAGAGGCGCACCAGCACCGCCAAAGTGAACAAGAGCAACTCCGCACGGGCTCAATACCCAAAGCCGACCTCATCAACTAGTTCAGATAAATGAATCCACATCCGAAAATACACTGTAATGTAAAGTAGGCTGCAACACTACCGGCGCGAGCTGTGAAGTTTCAACAAACCTCAATAACCAGTGATGGATCTATATGAAATCAATAAGTGAATGGAGCGTATTGTTTGGATCTCGCCTAAATCAACAACAAATTAATTTGATTCCTCTGCAATTACCAGGGTGCGATCACCTGTGCGTAAATCAGCCACGAAGCCAGTTAGGCTAGTTAAAACTCACTTCAGCAAGCAGCCGTCCATGCCAATATTTATAATAAAGCGTCAAGTTAAACGAACACGACTACGTGCAAAGTGTGTTTTAGAAAAAAAAATAAGAAATCCAACCCGCACACCATAAACGACCCATCTCCATCGCCTCGCGCAGCTACACACAAGACATTGTGTTTAAATGGCTCGGACACAACAGAAAGAACATTCAAACTATTTGGCTCTCCTCCTCCGCTGAGGTGAAACACATTCAAATTCGGCGTTCAATAACCCCCGGCGCTCTGTTTTCTATACTCACCACCAATTCCAGTATCCGATCACCATTAGTGACAAAATCGCGTTGGATAAACAGGGCAGGATCCCGGTGTAAGTAATCCAAATGGCACAAAATAAATACAGCGCTTATCCCCGCATATAGACAGCTCTCGGTGCTATTGTCTGTGTGTGTGTGTGTGTCTCTCCGCCGCACGGGGCTCCGTACCAGCTGAAGCGCTTCCCTTGTCTGTAGCAGACTGCCGAGAAGCGCAGCCTTTTTCGTCAGTGGAAAACTCCCTCCTGGCGTCTGGTCTGACGCAGGCGGTGACACAAGGAGGCTGCCCACGCCGCTTCCTGCCTGTCCTCCTGTGTGACTGTACCCGTACTACCTGCATGAGATAAAAAAAAAAATAAATGGCTACATAAGGCCATCTAGCCTATTGTATTAATTTAACATAAAGAATATAAGAAACTAGAGAAAACCGTCACTCCTGAGCCAGAGCCTCTGGTGGTGAGTTTGTAAAAATAGGCCAGCCTGTTTTGTTGTCAGACAGACAGATGTTGAAATGATATGTTGAAAACTCTCCTAATTATTTAGCTAAGTAAACTATTAAAAACCCCATATGTAACAAAGCTAAGATCAGGGCTGAGGTTTTGGAGAGACATGGTTTTAATGGGGCAGCAACAACTTGGCCTACTGTAAAGCCTATTGTTTTGTAATGTTTTTCCTAACTGAGTCTCTGATCAGTCACCCCCAACACATCTTCACATGGAGAAAAAAAAAGCGATTGATGGGAATCTATGCCAATTTCAGAGGATCTCCAGATTCCTCTCTATATGAGCTAACATGGTGTGCAATTTGCAGTAGTATCATCATGGGGCAGATAACATCATGTCTAATAGTGATGTGGGAGGCGCAGTCAAGATTCATGGTGTGGCTTATTTCCAGTTAAAGGAATATACTGACTAGGCTGTATGAAATTATGACTCAGTTTCTTTTTCATGGAAGTTCAGTTAACGATAGCTTCAAAGGAAACAACTTAGCAAAACAAACGGTGAAAACTACATTCTTAAAATGATTCATGGCAAGTCACATGAATTCGGACTCGTCTGATAAGAAACATGTTACCTTTGGTAGTTTTGCTGGTGTTTTGCTCAGTATCTGGAAAAAAAACTCCAACCACTCAGAAAGACCATGACACAAAGCTCAATAAAATCATAGTAAATGGATACTGAGTAAAGATGTCTTTCTGTGGCTGCCATAGAGGACACAGAGGTCTCTGTATGTATTTCTGGGAATTGGGAAGTTCTAGCAGTTTACATTCAACAGTTACAAATATACACACAATGGGTATTTTTTAAGATTATTCTTGTGTTTTTACACTCCTTAAAGGAGAAGTTCGTCCTTTTGGGGAAATACCCTACATGTCTTATTCTTTCTTCCTGAAAGTTAGATGAAAAGATCAATACCACTTGATCATTTCACATCTGTCTGTGAAATATAAGCTACAACTGGCAGCAAGCTAGCTTAGCTTTGCACAAAGACTGGAAACAGAGGGAAACAGCTAGCCTGGCTAGGTAACAAAATCTGCCTACCAGCACCTCTAAAGCTCACTACTTTATACATTATATCTCGTTTGTTCAATCCATACCAAAGCAAAGTGTAAGTATGCCTGACATTTTACTGGAGGGTAAACTATTTGTTTGCTGGCAGCAGTTGCCAGGCAGCAAGTGGAGACTTCAGGAAGTCCAAAATGTCAAACTACTGCTTTACATTTGACTACTTTTAGGCCACCAAAAAAAGTAAATAAATCATTCCTGACAGCTAACTAAATAAAGGAGAAAAATCCAAATAATAAATAAAAAGGACAGACTTTATTTTGGTGTGGCGGGATTGGTGGGGCTAATACTCTGCTTCAGCATTTTCTAAAAAACTGGCTGAGGCCCTGAAAACTGCTGGATCAAGATCAAGAATGTGTTTTCACACTGATTTAATGATTTCGCACCAACACAACATCTAAAACTTCACGGTGTTGTAATCACTGATCGACTAAATCTGCAGTGCTTTTCCCCAGAAGCAGCGGTGTCACACACCCTTTCCTGTGATCCGCTGAACTCCTCTCAGGTATTTACAAGTCTTGCCACTCACAGCGAGAACACCGAGATACTTTGCTTTCATTCTCAGCTGGACCTGAACACTGAGGCAAAATGTTCTGCCAATGTCAACACAGGTGCTTTACTGAGATATTTGGGGAGGTGTCTCTTAAAGCTGTGCATATAGAGCTATGCTAATTGTCTGCTGCTAATAGAGGGCCCCTTTCCCACTTGCCTGTTGAGCCTGAGGGCCCCATTTAGGCGAACAGGCAAGACAAGCTAATCAAGCTGAATGGAAACTGAAAATTCTTCTGAAATTAACTTCTGTTTTTAACATAAAATACAGTGTACAAGCATGTGGATTTGCTTGATATGAGTCATTTGCTTTGGAGGTGGTATTTTCACTGGAGTCATAATTAGCATTTAAACAAGAGTGAACGGCTTTGTGATAATGAACACGTTGATACCAGAGATCATGGCTGGCCACGCAACTTATTTGTGAACCCAAAGGAGTTATTTGGAGTTATAGCGGAAATGTGAGAAAAGCTACTGATGAACAACGTAAACACGCTATGATCAGGAAAATAAATACATGTTCCACATGAAAACAGCCGAGTTAAGATCTTAGAGGTCTCGACATTAACAAGTTGTTGTTAACATAAAAGCCAGATTCTGAGAGGAAAAAATCAGGAGAGCTAATTTAGTAAAACGTAGGGTAAAAGAAATCACTAAAATTTATGTTTTTCTTGAGGTTTTCCATGGTTCAAACTCAAAACATTTCCTCAGTAAATAGTGAAGTCAAGGTAAATCATATTTCATGACATACTGTCACAGCCTAATTACATTGGGATTAAGGTGAGGAGGGAAAGGGCAATTTAAAGTGTTAGTGCAGCCTTTGCATTGTTGTTATTGAAACTAGGATAAGTGGAAGAAGTGGAAGAAGGTGTGGAGAGTGGTCCCCAACTTGGGGATCCATCTGAGGGCGGGTCACAAGATGGTTAAAGGGAAAAGGGGGAAGGTGAAAAAAGAAAATTTTAGCTGCCTGTTGAAATAATGGACATATTTGCTACTTAAGATATCTAAAATCCTTCAAAATAAAACAACCTGAGCAGGAATAAACACTCTGGTTTAACTACTCACAACTTATCACAGTAAAATAATGTAGCACAAATACAGTACATAAGTAATAAAGTAAATGCACATTTAACAGTGCTATCTGCAATGGGAATCTTTGTAATCTCTGATCAGACAGCACATGTTGTGATGACAATACTGTCTGGATTGTTTGGTCACGCATCCACGGTGTGTAATATCGTAGGTGAGGGTGTGTGTCTCGGTAATGCTTCAGCCCGAGCCTGGGAGTCCAGACAGAAAGACTCCACCCAATTAGCTTCCTTGTCGTCCTGCAACTCTTTAAAACACAACAATGGGCCATCCACAGCCCCGATGGGAGAAACTGACTGTCACATGAGCAGCAGTCAGTCAAGAATTCAGCTCTCTTCACAAAAAAATAAATAAAAACTAATCACCAACATTAACAATTAGCCCTCTGTCTGACAAGTCCCAGAGAGCCTGGAGACATTCTTGCTCACTCTGCCTTCACTCTTCAGTGGTTTGGTGCAGCGTAAAGCCTAATTATAGTAGCAGAGTTGGCAAACATTGATCACTGACACAGGATCAACAATGGTGTTTTGACGGACAAACATTATGTAACGGGCAAATCTCAGTAGCGTACAGACTTGTGAGTTTTCATGTGTTGGTTTTTGCTCTTTGATGAAGTGTCCTTCATGAAGTTCTCTTGAGATAAACAGGAAATGTCTTGGCGGTGGAACTCATGCTTTTCATGTTGCCCTTTGAAGTCCCCTGTCAGGCCCATCAATTCCCTTTTTGATAAACAAGGAAAAGTTCCAGGGAACAGTGCGACTCACACATGTTTACCCTCTCTTCGAAGAAAAAGAGCTGCATGTGTGTGTGCGTGTGTGTGCAGGATGGGGGGATGGGAGCCCTGGTGCCAAAGCCACAGAATCAGGCCTGAATACATTAAGGCCACTCTCTTTAAAAGTGTGCCAGAGAGTTCACGGTGGAAGACGCCCCTCCAAGAGCACAATAATGGGCTTCAATGCTTTCCATCTGCGGAGGGAGAAAGGCCTGTGACTGCACGTGCTGCGTGGAGTGGGCTCAACAATGTATCAATTTATGACCATCAGAGGAATCATAAAGCCGCTCCTAGGGTGATGACCGGGGCTGCAGAGTGAAATGCCAAAGCCGCCAAACGAACACACATGATTCAAAAAAACATTTACGGGCTGCGATTGTCAGCTGAGAGTTAGAAAGCTTGCCTAGAAAGCCTGGAAAATAAGTGCAATAAAGTGTAAATTCACAGCAACATTTGTGTTAATAGAAGTCCAGAAGTGTACCCTGGAGGAGTGACAGACCAGATGAGACAGTCTGATGTTGTTGCGGCGGCTGCGGTGGTGGTGGTCAGCCTGGGCAGGCTGACACAACAGGGCTCAGGGGGAGCTGATTGATGGCTCCAGCTGTCCCAGAGGAAAGGAACACAGGCAGACAGCTGGTCACCTGTAGCCCCAGACACGACTGTGACGACTGTGCGCATGGCATTGTGTTTCACTGCAGAGGGCAACCAGTGCAACGCAGAGTTCAGGCCACTGTTCATCACAGCCATGAAAACAAGGGACGAGACTTGAGGATTAGAAATACACTTGAGGAAACACACTTAGCCAAGGAAAACAAGCATAAGGATAATTTATTGGATTTTGAGCAGAAAGTGTTTTGTTAATAAGATTACTTAAAACCTGAGCAGAAGCCGTCTTCTAATGAGAACGCAGTCGTCCACTTTTGTATGAGATTACCGGGAGGCACTGAGAACATTGAGAATAACAGTTGTTTCTACACAAGTTACATGACAGAGAGAGAGAGAGAGAGAGAGAGAGAGAGAGAGAGAGATGAGCTCACTCAGGCACAGGGATTAATCCAGAAGCAAGAGGGAAAGAAAAAAAAACACACCCTCCCCCTCTTGCAACCGGCCAGCCAATCGGCACGCAGAGGAGCTGGTTTACTTGGAGACCAAAGAATCTGTGTGTAGTGATATGACATCATCAGCTGCCCATTAAAGGAGAGGTCACTTCTTTTTCCCTTTGCCCCCAGCTTTGA